GAAAAACATGTACAAGTGTTACGTAAAATAGGCCTATTATGATGCGAAGCACACAAAACAAAGCTATATAAAAGAAAAAAAAAAGGACTAAAAAAGGTCAAGCAACAAAGATTCAATGCATAAGCCCCGGCACTTCTCAATCATGTAAGTAAAAAGTTGCATCTAAAAATTGAGATGATAGGAAGTCGCACAAAGGCCATGACATGCCATCCACGGGACAGACATAATCAAGAAGTTATTCACCATTATTCATGAAAATTTTAATTTAGAAAGTATAGAGATTATAGAAATGTTAAGCCATGGAACATTCCCTACTTATCTAAGTATTAAATGAAAATGTCCAACAAAACATGATTTTTCTTCTGGCTATTAAGCTTAGTATGAAGGGGATTTATTAAACTTTATAATAATAGTGGAGGTTGTAGGATATTATTGTCAATATGTGATTTTTCTTTTCCCACCAAATATGTACACCATATAGCTAATAAAGAGAATCTAGAATTTTTTCGATCTGTTTTATAGTGTTTCTCATCACTAAATTATATTCCAAAATTTAGAAGGATGAAGAAGGAAGTGCATGTTCAAGTTAACCAAGCTATGATAACAGAGCTAGAGTAAGGAACATAGAAAAAAAACTGGCAACAACTTTTATGGTGTGTATGGCATAAAAACGTAGAAGGGGGCTATAGAAATTTGAAAGTGGGAAGAGCATACACCATTTGTAATTCCCATTAATGGCTACCAAAGCTTATATGAATTGTGAATTGCTTAATTATGATGCCAAAACTAGGGAACATCGGCTCACATCATCCAATCTAGAAAATGAAGTTTTACAAAACATCATATTGGGGGGTCTTGTAAGCCTAAACAACCTAGAGAGCGACAGAGAGAGAGAGAGAGAGAGAGAGAGAGAGAGAGAGAGAGAGAGAGAGAGAGAGAGAGAGAGAGAGAGAGAGAGAGAGAGAGAGAGAGAGAGAGAGAGAGAGATGAAGATGAAGATTCTCAACAATCTTAGAGAACCCCATCCAACAATGCAAATCAATAGGAGATTGGGGCCTCCAAATTTATGCCTTTTTCCCAATAAATCAATTGCAGGTAACTTACCTTATTGACAAAATCATCAAAAAAGTTTGCACATGAAGATATTCAAGATAATAGATAAGGAATAAATACACTAGCTCCTTTACATATGGTAAACGATGTAGCGTATAAGGAAAATATATGAACTTTTTTCCACATTACTATTATAGTAAAAAAACTTAGAGCAACAATTTTTGAAAGAACTCATGAAACTTCTAGAATTAAAATGAGTATGCTCAAGAAGCAACAATATCAAATAAAATAAACTTAAGCAATTTAACCTAACAAGCAAAAAAACTTTATATTTTATGTTAAGGATGAGTTTAAACCTTTTAATTAAAGCAACAATGACAAGTCTTTATTCCACTAGGTGGAGCCTACTATATGAATCCTTTTTCTCTATTGTGTCCTATTGAGTGTCATATTTTCATTTATTTCTAATAGATGAAGATCAATTTGTTATACAATATGCCCAGGTCTTCTTAGGTCTACCTCTGCCTTTTTTAATATAAGTTAAAACAACATCTACTCTCATAATAGGATCATCAGATGGTCAACGTTTAATGTGACCAAACCATCTAAAATGACTCTCTCTAATCTTATCCATCACTATATTCATTTTGCATTTCGTCTCTAAATGTCATGCTACTCATCCACCCAAGCATTCTCATCTCAGCAACACCTAACTTTTTTTTATGCTTTTCTTTTAAAGGCTAGCATTTTGTGTCATAGAGAATTGTAGGTCTCACCACCATCTTATAAAATTTTCCTTTCAGTCTAAGCGGTGTTTTTTTAACACACAATATGCCCAATGCATTCCTTTACTTCAACCAACCAAGTTAATATCTACTAATAACATCCTCATCAATATCACTTTGAACAATAGACCCGATATATCTAAAAAGTTCACACCTTTTAATGAGTTGATCACCCATAGTTACAACTCTGCCACCAGAGCTACTACTACTAAAATTTAATACTATGTAACTCAAATGAATGTCTTTAGACTCCCTTATAGACATCCATAATTTAGCTTTTTCATGAACATTATCTCTTTATTCACAAGAAGGATATCATCAGAAAAAAGCATACAATAAGGTACATACTTTTATAAATGTCTAGTAAGAGCATCAATAACTAAAGCAAAAAGATATGGCCTTAAAGCCGATCTCTGAGGTGATCTAACTGAAATAAAAAAAAACTTGGGCATTCCCCCTTATTCGTACATAGTAACAACTCTAGTTAAAATATCTTTAATGACTTAAATATAAGTCATATCAACACATTTCTTCTTTAGAACTCTCCAAAGGACTTCTCTTAGAACCTTATCTATCATATGTTTTTTTTTCTTAAATCAATAAAAATCATATGTAGATCCCTCTTATTCGCTTTGCACTTCTCCATCAAACCTCTTGCACTTCTCCATCAAACCTCTAAATGAATGTATAGTTTCCATAGTAGACATGTTTGGCATAAATCCAGACTGATTATGAAAAAATTTGTATCACGTCATAACCTATGTTTAATTATCCTCTCCCATAATTTTAATCATGACACATCAACTTAATTCCTCTAAAATTTGCACACTATTTTGCATCCCTTTTATTCTTTAAAATGGGGACTAAAATACTCTTACTATACTCCTCGGGCATCTTTTTGGATTTTAGTATAAAAATAAAGGCTTCAATAAGCTAAAAAACTCTCAAATCTCCTAAATATTATCACACTTCAATTGAAATGTCAGCAGGTCCTATAGATACACCACCCTTAGTTTTCCTTAAAGCCACATCAAGTCAGCAAGTCCTACAAATACACCACCCTTAGTTTTCCTTAAAGCCACATCAACTTCTTTTTTACTAATGCGACGGTAAAAACAAAATATTTAATTATTATTAACTATATTTAGATCACTAATGTCTATCTTATTTTCATAAACTTTATTGAAAATTTATCAAAATAACTCACCCACATAAGTTGAATATTTTCTTCTAATAAAAGAACTTATTGATTTCATCTTTAATACACTTTACTTGAATTAAATGTTTAATTCTTTTTTCTCTTTGTTTGGTTAGTTCATACATATAGTTTTTACCCTCTTTAGTACATAATCTATTATAAAGATCACTAAAAGAAGCTTTTTTAGCATCACAAATTATTCTCTTAAACTCCCGAGGGGCCGCCTTATATTTTTTCTAATTCTCTAAGTTTTATATTTAAACTAATTTTTATAACACAATTTTTTTTTTGCACATTATTATTCCATCGCCAATTATTTTATTTATATATATTTTTTTTCTTTTGATTCTTCAAGTATATCTTTTGTC